GAAAAAAAAATCCTCGCGTCCTGCATGCACTCCCAAGAGCATGGCTGTCAGCCCGCAAACGTGGGGCAGGCAGGGGGAAGGGGTACTGCATCGGAAGAAGCAGCACAGCAAAAAAGGAACTGGTATATTTATATACAAGATATCAAAACAAAGCACGACTGTTAACACCTGCTCTGAACAACTGCAGAGGTTCCGCAGCCGAACCATCCACTGCCAAAGCCATAGCAGTGATATGAAATGCAGTGTTTGCCGGCACAAAGAAAACACTGCCCTTAGATATCACAGAAGTTCCTCCCTTGCCATGCTGCGCTGTGTCGCAAGCACTACTTACACACAGTAAAGAGCCCCTACCTAAGAAGGTCAGAAAGATGGAAGGCCCAGGCAAAGCTGGGACTGTGTACCCTGTCCCTGGTTCAATGCTGATCCGATCCACTTCAAATTCATCGAGTGGTGGAGAATACCTCCGTGTCTTCTTGTCAATCTGAGTCCCACGGAGTACGCATGGCATTCCCTGTTTGTATGTCAGCATGGAACACAGTGTATCAACATCTCTGAACTTCGGTGTGAGTCCAGCACGGACAACATTATCTGATGTGGCCATGCATTCCACACAATCGCCTGAGAGATAAGCATGTGGCTCATTCGCCGCAAGGTAAACACCTTCTCCAGGCTTGAGCCTGATATAATTAAGGAAGTAGGCAGCCAAAACCCCAACATCACCCGGATACTGCTGGTTCAGGCGGAGAATCAGATCCTCCTTTGGCGAGAGGATGATACCCTCCAGTTTCTTCTTATTTAGCGAAGCCACATGCCTTGCAACAGCACCTGAGATTACCTCTTTGTCACTTGTCATGAGCGTCTTGAACGCCTTGCACAAAAGGGAAGCTCTGAATGTCTTATCACCACCCACAGGGCCTTCCGTTCCCTGTGGATTTCCACCCCTATTCTCAATTGCTCCAGCGCCAAATAATGTGCGGTCACCGCTCCCATTTTCAGCTTGCCGAGCCATGCAATCCTCCTTAACACCATGGGCAGTGAATTCTTTATGACTGCCCATGTTTTCTGCCATGCCGTACACCTCATCAACAGGCAAATTCCCACCTGTCTGAACGTGCCAGGCTTCCCTATTCCCGTTTTCAGCAGATGGAACATACCCTTGCTCCACAACCCCATTTTCAGCCCCATTGTCCACTGATTTTGGCTTGCTGCTAGCATGTCCATTCCCAGCTTCAGCTCGACCCATCTGCAGCATAGCACGGGTCACGTCCTGCCCAAGTATGGCGGTTAAGTCTGTTGCGGTCTCTAAAACCTTTGCAAGCTCAGACATTGTCACAAACCCACAGAGCGCTTCGAATGGTGTCACAGCAATTGCCATCTCTGGCTTGTGATTGTCATCCTTGTATATCTTCGGATATTGCGCATGCAACTTCTCTGCAAGCTCCTTGTCAGGATGAGCCTGAATCGACAGTGCCGTCGACACAGATAGGACTTTGAAAAGGAATGGCAGATCCACTGTCTTCCACCTGTCCAATACTTTATCGCCCAGAGCATGGGGATGATCCTCCAGCCACTCCTTCAACCCAAACTCAACACCGCTATGGCTGTCATCATCCAAACAAATCATCGAAGGCCCACTAGGATGTGTACCGCACCATAGCTCAGCGTAAGGGCAAGTCGGTGTCACTGCCTTACCTGTCCCTGCGGAGTGGAGTCGAGCAACAGCTGACTCAAGCCCTAGCCTGCCCCAACCGTAGTGCTGAACAGCGCACTTCAAGGGAATTATGGTTGTAGGCGGCTTTGGGCTGGAGTACAACCAACCAACTAGACTGTCCTTAAGAAAACTTGCCCCCATGGAACCACTTTTCCCTTTCGCATGGCAAACGGCTTCATCGCCACCGCAGATCTGCCATGAGGAAAGACAAGCAAAATGTCAGATTTGCAAGGAAGATGCCAGTCCAACAACCATCCTCAAGCCTTTCCTCTGTGCCATATGCTCTTGCAAGGCGGTTCGCTGAGTTAAACTGTTAAACCCAAACCGACGACAATTGCATTTTTCTTTTTTCTTTTTCTCGCAGTTGCATTTTTCAAACATGTAAGTTATGAACATATATGACACATACCTCGAGTACTTCAGCACCGCTATCATTTCCAAACTGATTCTGTACTTACAGAACTGCTATCACTTTCAAACTGATTCTGTACTTCAGAACTGCAATCATTTCCAAACTGATTCTACGACAACATCACTGTCGTCTTTCAGGCTGTCACCGTTCCCATGAACATCTGGCAGGCCCATGGACACCGGAGCAGGCCCAAGACTAACCTCAACCAGCCATGGTCGACTTCCACTAATGCACCAAACCGTAGTCATTTTGGGCTATTGGGAGCATGAACAGGACCGAAAATGTTCTCAACTTCCCTGGTCTTGTTTCTCCACCTGCATTGCATTTGGCATTCCATTCGACGCGTAAAGAAACACCAAAACCGGCATGAGGTTTCCATTCGCATTCCTGCGTTCGGCATTGCATTCTTTGTTCTTCTGGTACCCTTCCAAAACCACTCACTGCTCATCATCCTGTCGAGGGCTGTGCCTTAAGGAGGACAAGCTAACAATTTACCACTAATTGGGGGTGACCGATATAGCCAGACAGCTGCGAGAGCGGTCATAGCCAAGGCTCACCCCGACCGGTGCGTTGCTGAATTTCTTTTGATGACGGATGACAGTGACAGCTGGCATGCTATTGCTATCCATCTCTCTCCTCCTTTTCTCCTGCTCCTAGCAGTGCAAGCAGGCAGTGTGCGCAAGTGAGAAGACTCGTGTCGTCCTTTTCACATTCAGACCACTTCAGCACAGCTACAATCCGGATAAGGTGCAGGCGTCTTGCCCAGATAAAATGCAAACTTTTGGATGGCGTCCAGACCCAGGTTCTGGTCCGGTCCGGATGACGTCCAGGGTTGTGCTCGATGAAACAATGGGCTGACAACAGCGCACCCTGGCTTGGGCAAGAGACATTCGAGGATACTTGAAAAGAGAGGGGGGAGATCAAAAAGTTGAGGGACCTTACGTCTTTGTCGTTCTCTCCTTCTTCGCCACTTCACTGTTCCTCACATCCATTCATCGATGCACATTGGCCGACAGCTTGCACCTCAGATTCTGCCATTTCAGTTATGTTTCATACGTATTCGTCTGCCTTCCCGCGCGCATGTTGATATGTGTTGGCGCCATAATTTCATGGTTTGAGACCTCCACCAGTCCCCCCAGCGCTAAAAAATTGGACTTCAAGTATGGGCCAGCAACTGGGAAATTGTTGGGCCTACCGGTAGCAACGGGGAGCAAAAAATGCAAACTTCTCCCATCAGTTTCTTTGTTTTGGCCATACGATTGTTTCCTGTTCTTTTTTTTTTTCTACATTTCTCATGTTTTTCAGAATTTCCATGCCCAAATCTGAGTGCAACATATCGTCAAAGTCGGTGCACTCAATGTTTTGCACACCACTGTGGGCCCCCCATTGGCCAGGCCCTTCTAGCCCAGTGCAATGTGGGCTGCACAGCTACTCTAGAAGCTTTGGAGATGCTTAATACCTTGGCTATGTGGCGAGACGATCCTTGCCTTACCAAATCGGATAGAAGACATGAAGCACTGGTGGTACGGAATCACAAAGCGCCTTGAACAAGACCGCAGGTGGGAGCACCATACAGCAAGGATTGGAAAGGAGGCAACGGAGGTCATAGCACCGATGCTGAACCATTTTTTATTTGTCTGACCCCAACATACTTCATTCGGCTCATCTGAAACCAAACATTTTCCCTTCATCTGATTCCATCAGGGTCTGAGCTAATGATATGTGTACTGACAGCCACATGCGTGTACCATTCAGCCACACAGCGCCTCTCTCCACTACTCACCAAATGTGCAAAATAAGAATGAATCTTCCGAACGAACGAACATGGAAAGATACACTGCCATATTTTGTCTTTTGTGCATGTGCTGAGTCGTGGAGCCAGGCCCATAAGCAGACTCCAAGTTGTTAGAAGTCTGTAACCTATGGCAGTAGTCCTACGCATGAGTTGCCACTGGCAGGAGCTCTGTGTAGCCTCAAGACAGTTGTCAGTTGTGGTCCTCTCGACACGGGGACCCCCACTTTTCGGCCCTGGGTAACCATGAATGATCCTGAAATTAGGGTTTCGGCGTCAAATTTTGTGTTTTTTTGGATTTTTGTTTTTTGCCTGTTTTTGGTTTTGGACAAGCTTGCTGTGTGTCAAATTTGGTGTCATTTGGAGTATTAGAATTTGTGCTGTTAAGAGTGGTGAAAATCCTGAAAATCTGATGAATTTTTTTTTGCCAAAATTGCCTGAAAATGCACTTTCTTTTTTTTTTTTTTTNTTTTTTTTTTTTTTTTTTTTTTTTTTTTTTTGCAAGAAAATGCACTTTTGGCTTGCTGTTTTATCTGTTCTTCATTTTTTTTTTTTAGTTTTTTTTTATAATATGTTAGTAAGAAGTGCACTCTATACATCGGTATGAAGTTTGCTTGAAATGGCCTTATGGTTTTCTTATAAATTGAGGTGAAAAATGGGGGGTCGGTTAACCATCTCTCGCTTTCGACCTTTACGGACCACCACAAAAGAAGTGCTGCCTGCCTCCAGGAACCTACCACACTATCAAATCCAGCAGTGGTGCCTTTTTGCTCAAACTTATACAGTAGTTCACAAGTGGTGTTCAAAGTTCCTTCTCCAGCCTCCCTCCCGATCCGAGTCCGCACCTTTTCCTTCTTTCACACACCACTGCCCCAAAATTTTACCAGCCCGACTGCCAGCCCTCTCTTCAATGGTGTGCAAAGTTCGTTGCTGAAGGGGTTGACATTGGAGTGGTGGTCACAGGAGCCACTCAACTGCCAGCCCTCTCTTCAAGTTGCACAAGATACAGCAGCCCAAGGACCGATCGTCCATGCCATTTGCACCCATACCTCTAAGCCCCATCCACAAAAGCTCTCTACCTCCTGAGAGGGAAGTCAAAAGGGAGGCAGAGTGGCAGTACATATCTCATGCCTTCACTAGAACCACCTACCTATAACGGCCGTAATTCAAAATATTTTTTCATCTTGGAGTAAGGGACACAAATCGGCCGTGTATGTTTAAAGGGCAAACTAGCCCGGTCAGGATGTACCTGGATGTGAACATCCAGGCCTAGGTCATACGCTTACGCATCTGCAGGACACTAGTTCTGACATTCCAAAACTGAGCAGACTGCTTGCTTACATGGCCCATAAATATCGCTGATTTTCTCTCTTCATTTACCTGATTCCGACAGGATTTGAACCCATGTTGCATCTACTAACACATTGACAGTCGATGTGTGTACCATTCAACACATAATTTCTGACTGGCTACCATCATATATGTCTTTGGGCCTCGCCACACCTATCCCGAAAACGGGAAAATGTTTGAGAGCGCTCTCGAACTCGGGAAATCGTGAAAAACGGTTGGAGAGGCCTCGTCGCCGCACTGCGCTCTCGAAGAGGGCGCTGTCCACTGTGTCAGAAAAGAACGGCGTTTTTCGAGAGTGCAGTGTGGCGGTGCAAGGGCCTTGCTCCACTACTCACCAAATGTGCAAAATGAGAATGAATCTTCCACTAGACCATGGAAAGATACACCGCCATATTTTTTGTCTTTTGTGCATGTGGTGAGTGGACCGAGGCCTCGGTTCGAGAGTTCTCTCAAACCAAACATCACAAAGCGCTTGTCCGTCGCGGCACACTCTCGAAATTCGGGCTGAAATCGGGTGCGCCTCGGACCGCTCTCCAAAACGGCCTCTTTGCAGGCGGGCACTCCCGAAAAGTTCAGGAGCGCTCTCTCCAACCGCGTTCTGACCGCTCTCCAACTTTTTCAAGATAATGGGTTTGGAGAGTAGGTGTGGCGATGCTTCCCCTCCTCAAAACCCCGTTTTCGGGGTGTGGCAAGGCCCTCTGCTGAGGTTGAGGATTCACTTCCCAGCTGAGCTACCAGCGGAGCCGCCCAACGGGCCTGTTTCTGCCCAGCAGGGGCCCAAGTAGCCAAAGATTGACCTCTAGGTAAAGAGCCACATGCGGCAATACAATAGGGGACCTTCCGTCCCTCTGTTTTTCTTTATATTCATCTCCGGTGAATCACCGGTGATCAACGGTGATTCACCGGCCAATACCGCACGCGGCAGTGCGGCAGTTTGAAGCCTGGCTGGGCATTCAAATGTGATGTCAGGTCAACCTTGGCGGGGACCGTGGTATTCAACATTCACAACTGTCACACACACGTCGCCACATGTCGCCCAACACCACGAACGCCGCTCGGCCTGGAGGGCCAAGCCAGGCGACTCCCGTAGCCAGGCTTCCCTTTTAAAAAAAAATAAAAAAAATGGACCATTAGGCTAGGAAGATTTTCATGCTCGACCGGGCACCCGGGCGTGCAAAAAAATAAAAATAAAACTAAAAATGAATAAATAAAAAATGCCTTTCTGCGCTCCCCCACAGGACCCCAAATCCGGGCTCTTTTCATTTTTTGAGAGTTGGCTGTCAAGGGGGGGGAAGGGGGGTATAAATTTGTTTTAGAGGGGCTAAGGGGGTTTAAAGGGGGGTGCCTTAGTGTGATTTCTTTTGTATCTCTGATTCGGTGAGGAATTCTGATGCGATCCTCAGCCAAAAGTTGTTTGTATTGCAATTCTACACAACATATTTTTTGTCTGAAATTTTTTGACTTTCGTTTTTTTTTTGTTTTTTTTTTTTTGCTTTTGCGCTGGGGCTGCCCGGAACCGTGCCCGGGGGTCATGCCCGGCTGGGCACCCAGGCGTGTATCCGGGCATAAGTTGGGTGCCCGGGCGCCCGGAAAAACAGCCTAGCCATTAGGCCCATTACTCAATTTATCCGGGTCATC